TAACACACACACACACACACTCCAAACATGGTTTTGTGTGAAATCTGTTCTGGCCACATTTTCTGACATAGATGTTAATCTTAAACATCCTACGGTCCCCTGAGGAGTGGGGGTGGGGTGCCATTCTAACATTCACGCCAACATTAGCCCACGGTCATATCCACCCCACTCGCACTTACGATGTCTGTGACTCAGTGTTTGGGAACCAGGAAGGCTTGTGTGAGCGGCACAGTAATGCTAGGCTTTCACTAAGATTGTAATTTAAATATCTGTGTGTGGTGACATTAGCATAACCACCTGGCACACCTCCGATACCAAAATGGTCCCCGGGGAGGAGCCACGGTGGGACACTGCAGGGTAGTGATGGCTAGCATTCTCTCTCTGCAGAGATCTCCACTCCCAAGTTGCACCCCCCAACTACAAAGCTCTGCTGGCCCCCAGGCAGAATCCGAGATGCCAGGGGGTCTTCTGAGAGGTTTTAATTTCATAGGAACTCCAGCACCAAGCAGAGCCTGCATGAAACAAAACGTTGGCGTGACTAAGACACTTCCTCCTCAGCGAGTTTCACCGTGACACACTCATCCTGGAGCCCACGGTCATCCTCAGACAGGGCCCCTGCTCAAATCTGTGACTGCCCCACTCCAGGTGGGGAGGGAGTGTCCTCTTCAGTCCACACACTCCCTCAGCACACACTGGTGAAGTGGAAGAAGGGACACATGGAGAGGCCCCAGGAAAGCGGCCTGCTTAGGGATGACACTGTGACTCTTCCTAAAGAAAGGCTCTCTCAGTTGGCACCAATAAGGTAGACAGAGGCATGAAAATCTTTCTGTTACAAAATACCTAGAAAAGATGAATAAAGGTTTAGCGTCCTTTCAAATGCATGAATGGGTTCATAGAAAAAAAAAAGAACCGAGGGTCAAACATTTGGATAGTGTATTAGTTTTGGTGTGTGTGTATGTGTGTCTGTGTGTGTGTCTAGGTCTGTATGTCTGTCTGTGTGTGTATGTGTCTGTGTGTGTGTCTATGTCTGTATGTCTGTCTGTGTGTGTGTGTGTGTCTGTGTGTGTGTGTCTATGTCTGTGTGTGTGTGTGTGTGTGTGTGTGTGTATGCAGTGTACTTGTGTCTGTAGGTTTATGTACATGTGGAGGCCTGGGGACAACCTCAGCTGTCATTTAATAAGACATCATCCATTTTTGTTTCTTTAAGACAGGGTTTCTCACTGGCCTGGATCTTGCCAATGAGGCTAGTGTGGTTATCGAATGTGTCCCGTGGATCTGCCTTTTTCTGCTCCCCAGCCCTGGGATTATAAGCACATGTGCCTGCACATGATTTTTTTTTTTTTTAATGTGGGTTCTGGGGATCAAATACAAGTCCTTGTGCACACAAGGCTTTGGTGACTGAGCTGACTCCCCAGCCAGCTCCACTGTTTTTTTTTTTTTTTTATTGCTAACATAACAAATCACCTCAAACTCAGCAGCTCAAGACGAGTCAATTTGCTCACAGGTCTGAAAACGTGCAATGCAGTGTCACTGGACAGTCTTCTCCCAAGGAGGAATCTGTTTCCACAGCCTTTTCTGCTCCTAGAAGTTCCTCATATTCTTTCCAGCACAGCCCTTCTTTCATCTTAAAGACCAGCAACACGCCATCATTGAGACATTTTTCTCCCCCACCTGCACAGACCTTTGAGACTCGCAGTAACTCACACTCATAACTGACCAGCAGTCATGACTTCATCTGTAACTCTAATTCTTCTTTGTCATGGAATCTGCAGGGTGTATATGTTCTAAGGGGCGTGACCCTGCCTGCCACGGAGCAGAAACTGAAACCTACAAATACAAGTAGGCTTTGCTGGTTAGGATTTTAATTTTGTATTTTGTGTTTTTTGTTTGTTTGTTTGTTTGTTTGTTGTTTGTTTGTTGTTAGGTTAACACAGACCACCAATTTCTGGGGGAAAGAGAACCTTCACTGAGAAAATACATTCATCGGATTGGCCTGGAGATGAGTCTGGAGTGGGAGACATTTTCTTGATTAATGATTGATGGAGAGGAAGGGGTCGGTCTAGCCAACTATGGGTGGTGCCACCCATGGGCTGGTGGTCCTGGGTTGTATAAGAAAGCAGGCTTGGTAACCATGAGAGTAAGACAGAAAGCAGCACTCCTCCATGGCCTCTGCTTCAGTTCCTGCCCTGATTCCACCAGCCGCTGGGCACTCCTAGCAGTGACTTTTTTTTAATCAGATTATCTAAAGTGGAAAGATGCACCTAAATGTGGGTGGCGCCCTCCAGTGGCTGCCCAAATACAAGGAGGCTGAAAGTGTTGGAGAATATTATTTTAAGGTGTTAGTTACATTTGTTTGTGCTGTGGAACACTTGTTTAATGATGCAAAGATATGTTATATTCTTTTATGTTGCATTTGTTTAACTCTGTGAAGCTGTGATTCTTTGCCTGTCTAAAACACCTGATGGTCTAATAAAGAGCTGAACAGGCAATAAAGAGGCAAAAGAAAGGATAGGCGGGACTGGCAGGCAGAGAGAATAAAGAGAAGGAAAAATCTGGGAGAAGAAAGAGCAAGAAAACAAGGAGAGAAAATGAAAGGGGCCAGCCACCCAGCCACACAGCCACACAGCCAGCCATGGAGTAAGAGTGAAAGTAAGATTACAGAAGTAAGAAAAGGAAAAAGTCCAGAGACAAAAGGTATACGGGATAATTTAAGTTAAGAAAAGCTGGCTAGAAACAAGCCAGACTAAGGCGGGGCATTCATGAGTAGGAATAAGACTCCGTGTGTGATTTATTTGGGCCCTTAAAGAAATGAGTTAAAAAAAAAAAAAAACTATAACATGAAGGAAGCTTTTGCCTGCTTGCCTTCACTCTGGCCAAGTTCATCTCGTCTGTGACTACATTCCTGTCCCAATAGCAGAACCTTCCTTCACCAGCCTTCCAATGTGGACTGAAGACCAGAGGCTCTCCAGGGACCCTCTAAGCCCTCAGTGCCAGATCGGGGCAGCTGAGGCTCCCTGCCTCATGGATGGAGCAGCTGCCAGACATTCAGCCTTGGCAGCGCCAGGTGGCTGTTGTAGAATCGTTACAGAAGATGCTCTAATAAAGACACTTGTCATACACACTCATTCTGTCAATTCTGTTCTTCTGGAGAACCCTCACTAACGTATAGGGTTGACATCAGAAGCACAGTGAGAAATTCCGTACAGTGACTCAATATTTCTAAACAAATAAATTGCAAGTAATTGGGGGGGGGGGCACTAAGAGATAACTAAGTAAATTACCCCATGAAGTGAAGAAAGTAAAATAATGGGAGAGGAAAGGAATGGGCAAATACAACCAACTGGAGCCACAAAATTAATATGAAATAAAAATAGCTTTAATATCCAATCAGATAAAAACAAAAAGCAGAGTCTCGGGGAAGTGAGAACATCCCTATATGGCAAGCAGTTACCCAGTGAGCGGCCTCCCTGGCCCCTACAAGTGGGAATGAAGGGGGGGGAGAGAATTGCAAATGCATCCTCAACTCATTGGTTCACACTGATTGAAAGACTAATATTTTTGCTGCTACTGGGATTGAATTAGGACTTGTACATACTGGTCAGGGACTCTACCACAGCAGTTAACCTCCAGTGTTAAGTGGGAACTTTTAAAACACAACACAAAACTCCCTAATTGGTAAGTATAAGACATGGCTGACCCAGCAGTTGGAGGACCTGCCTTCTTCATAAACAGACCCAGAACACCTTCTGAACTTAACCCTGTAGAGACGTAGACTTCGGAATCAACTTCAGATTGATGTGGTGTGGTTAAGTTAGTGACTTATATCAGGGGAGACTGGCTAAGGGGTATTATGACTAGCCAAGTTGAAAAAAAATAGAATAGACAACACAGCATCCTGAGGCCCAGGGAGAGACAGGGTGAATGGTCTCACAGCTAAAGATGGACATCTTCTGGGTTTTGTCTCATGATCCCTAAAAGCTCATCGCTTATGACTTGGACTGGCTTATGTCTCGATGTTTCAATGAGAGCTCCTGTCTCACATAAAAGGTAGACGTACCTGAGGACTGGTAGCCCAAATCCTCTGAACTCCAAATGTATGCCAAACACATGCATGTCTGTATCTACACATGTACTGCAACACATGAACACACACACACACACACACAGCCACCTGGAATAGGTGCATTGCCTGTTTCTTTAGCAGTTGGTCTGGAGTCTTTCTGCTTAGGAAACAACCAAGATGACTCAAGTGGGAATTGATGGCTCCATGATGCCTGACCAACTCAAGAGGCTCCGGCCACCTCCAGAATGTCATCAGTCCAAACCCCTCCTGTCCACAGCCCTCCCTCACCTCTGACTCAAACATTGGGAGCAGGGAGCCTGTCATGGGCACAGTGCAAGGAATAGAGGAGAGGAAAGTCAGGAAATACGGGAGATGCCGATGGTCCCAAACTACTCCCAGGCTACCTACCAGTCTCAGGCTTCCCTGAGCTGAGGGGAGGGTAGTACTTGGCCTGTGGAGTTTTCTGAGATATTGCCTTTATGTGAGACAGGCTGTTTCCACTACCAAATGAGATGGTGGCTGAGAGTTACTGGGGACCATTTCTTTTCTAGAAATGACCTAAGAAGCATTAGAAACTGCTCAAGGTTAAGGAGGGGGAAGAGGAGAAGAAGGAAGAGGAGATGTATAGACTAGAAATAACAATGCAATTTCCAATCTGCTCCCCGAACAGTCTACCTGGCAACTAGTGATTCGGACCCAGTAGGTAACTTATGGAAATGTGAACTGGGGGCTCATTACCAAAAACTCTGCAGCTGAGGCCAGGTCACACTATACAGTAATAAGAGGACTCATCACATTGTTCAATAATTCTCTCCATATTATTTAATTTCAGTCTCAAGAATTACTTCCTCTACCTCAATATATCTATAATAGGTAATTAGTTACTTTTCTGTTGCCATGATGAAATATCATGAGCAAAAGCAACTGAAGAGTTTACCTTGGCTTACAGTTCCAGCGGGGTCCAAGTCCCTAAACAGTGAGGCAGGCATTGCAGCAGGCAGCCAGGGCAAGACGCTGATCACATTTCACCACACAGAAAGCAGAGAAAGGAAACTGAAAGTGGGCTATAAACTCTGAAAGTCCGCCCCGTGACGTATTTCCTTCAGCAAGGCTCTACCTCCTAAGTTTCATAAACTCCCCAAACAGCACCACCAACTAGGAACCAGCTGTCCAAACACATGATGCTCTGGGAAACAATCCTCATTCAAACCAACCCAACAGGTAATAGATGTGCTGCTACCTCCCAGTGATTCCAAACATGCCGGTTAGTGGGTTGGAACAGTATACTTAACTCTACATACTTACAGTATTCATATTGGGGTTACTCTGTCATCCTAGTGAATTCAACATCACCACATACATTAATACGAATAGTGTGTGGAAGTGATATTCTTTTCATTCTATTAACGGATTATTTTGCAGAATGGAAAAGAGAAAGACCCTGCCTCAAATAAGCAGAGTAATAGAAAAAAACTCTTGACAATGACCTCTGCCCTTCACATGAGTACATGAAGACGTATACACACACACACACACACACACACACATACACACACACACACCTTCATTTATAAATACGGATGGAACAAACATCACTGTGTCAACCCAGAACTATCAAGAAAATGTTGAGAGGATAATAAATATAAAACTTAGATTTGCTTTTACCTCAGTGACTTAAATCCCACAGGGCTTACAAATACAACTGAAGATGTCCGCTTTCAAAAGCTTCCTCTCTGGTCTCCTCTTGTTCTGAGAATATTGTGCACTGTGTTTTATATATTTGTACGTTCTGCTACATGGCTATCTCAATAGCTTGAACAGTCCTCACTCTGGGCAGTCATTCATTTGCTCATGTGACCTTTATGGTGAAGGAAGACCATGAATGAACAATTCCCATACGTCACACGACCATGGGGCTTTAAGCCCTGAGACAGAAAAGCCATTGGTTCTGCTTAGAACCAAAGTTTACACAGCACCATTAATAGAAATTAGCAGCAACAGCTGCTGAAAGCAAAAGGCGAAATGAATGGGCTCACCCCACTGGAGGGAAAGCATGCCTGGTACTGTGAATCTGGCCAAGAACCCAAGGTTGGAGCTCATAGGCCTGAGGGATGAAGCTGATACTCTAATTTTACTAAATGGATAGAGTACCAAACTGCTCTCTAAATTCCTATCTCTTACCCATAGGTGAGTGCAGCCCTCAAACCTCATCAGAGAAGTCCCGTTGCATAATAATTGTGGTTAATGCAGAAGCTCACAACTGGTCAAAGTGCAGGAAATGCGTGTCAGTGGAGTGCTCGGTCACAAATAGGACATTGACGTCATACTACCTCCCCACAGTTCAGGAACATTGTAAAGAGGGGGAGAAAAGATTGTAAGAACCAGAAGGCAAGAAGATAAACAAGCAATCTATTTAACTTTGGTTAAGAAAACAAACCATTAATGAACTTGACCTATGTTTATAACTGTTGGATATCTGAGATATCATACATTTTCTGGGTTTTAGATATAGCTTGAGTTTTCATTTAAAATTACCTCATTAAATTGTTCTCTAAATTTTGTAGTAACAGTAAAAATGTTATGTAGAAGGACATTTCTCTCCTGCCAGCCAGTTTCCAAATAACCATTCAGAGGCTTAATATTATTTATAAATGCTTGGTCCATAGCTCAGGCTTGTCACTAGCTAACTCTTACACTTAAATGAACCCATAATTCTTATCTATGTTTAGCCACATGGCTTGGTACCTTTTCTCAGTATGGCATTCTCATCTTGCTTCTTTGCATTTTGTCAGCAACTCCTCTGACTCTGCCCTTCCTCATCCCATCATTCTCAGTTTGGCTTTCCCACCTAACTTTATCTCGGTCAGCTTGTTTATTAAATCAATCACAGAGACATATATTCACATAACATAAAGGAATATTCCATAGTAATGTTAAGATTAAAGTATGTTATAAAATGTTTAAAAATGAATATAGTTGTAACTAAGTTAAAAATAATATAAAGTTATAAAATTTTAAGGTTAATTCCCTACCCTAAGATACAACTAATGTTTGGTTTTCTACAACAATATTTTCTTTATTTATTTGTTTTTAGTATTTATTTGTTTTTAGTTTCCTTTTACTAAATGGATATTTAAAACCTGTGATTAAATTTTATTTATTTTTTTATGTTTTACCATTGAACAAAGCCTTTGCTTTTTGGATAGTTTTTGTTTTCTTTAATCATGAAACAAAATCTGTTTAGAGTGATGCCTACTTAGGATATTCTTACTAATTTACATAGTGATTATAAACTTGTTTTAATGAACAAAATTTAAGTGTTTATCAAGTTGGGTTTATTAGATAAACAAATAATGCATGATATTGTAACAAACTTAATTCTTTTAAATTTTTTTATTTTATGTGTCCGGGTGTTTTGCCTGTATGTCTGTATACCATGTTTGTGTCTGGTCCTTGTGGAGGCCATAAGAGGGTATTGGAGCCCCCAGAATTGGAGTTACAGACAGTTGTGAGCTGCCATATGGATGCTGGGAATTGAACCTGGGTCCTTTGGAAGAATAGCCAGTCAATGTTCTTAACTACTAAGCCATCTTTTCAGCCATAAGACTTAACTTTGATAACTAAAATTCAAAATTAGTTACAGGTCTTCCTCAAAGAATTAAACAAACAAACAAACAAAAAACCCAGATGATTCCATCAACCAAGAGAGGGGGGGAAAAAGACATCACATCAAAGACTCCATTATGATTAAATGTCAGGACTGTATCCAGGTTCTTCTAACTCACTAGGAGGCAGGAACTTTCTCACATCATCTGAGAGCACAGATCTGTGGGTGTCTGAAATGCTGGATGTGCTGACCTTCACCACCACTGACAATCCAATGGCCCAAGGAACTAAATATTCCCCTCACTTTCTGTGTTTCTGAAATATTTTTGTAATTAGATTTTAAAAATTGCTCATATCTAATATTCTACCTGACATATTGCTAAATGACAAAACACTTGTCTTGATTTTAATGAAGCTACAAAGGAAAATGTTATGTCCATTTAATTTGATCATGGCTTTTTTCTTTCTTTCTTTTCTTTTTTCTTTTTTTTTTTTTTTTTTTTTTTGGTTTTTTGGTTTTTTTGAGACAAGGTTTCTCTGTGTAGCTTTGTGCCTTTCCTGGATCTCGCTCTGTAGACCAGGCTGGCCTCGAACTCACAAAGATCCGCCTGCCTCTGCCTCCCGAGTGCTGGGATTAAAGGCGTGTGCCACCACTGCCCGGCATCATGGCTTTTTATTATAACTCTTTGCTTATACTAAACCCCTATCTTATTCAAAACCAATGTTAGAAAGATTCAAGTTTTTTCAGTCTTTATAAACATGTATATTCTCATTATTTAGTATAATTTGGATAAAACAAAATAATCTAGTTTTTAGCATAAACCTTTGTGGGAGGCCAGCTCCCACCTTTTCAAGGATTTTTATGAGGAGGAGAAAGGGATAATAAAATATTAGAAAGATAGCAAAGAGGAGAAAGAGAAACACAGGATAGCTTCCAGAGGACCTGTGTCAATACCCAACAGCCTTTTCCATTTATTCAAAAGAACTTTTTATAACAATGCCAAGGGGTGGGGCAAAAGACCCCCCCCCTTGCTAGATCAAAGCACACCACACAGCCAAGTGCAGACCCTTCCAAACACCTGGTACCCACGCCCACGATCAAAGCATCCCCTTCCCCTTATGCAGCCCTGCTGGGTAAAACAACAGGATTCTTGGACCCTGAGTAAGTTCTCACTAGGAAACCTCTGTGGGTCTCCACAAACTTTAACTCCATTTACTCTATCTGGAGATAGGCAAAGGCTTGGGTTAACTCTTACCAAAAGAATACAAGAGACATGTTTCTAATAGCAACATTCATGTTTTATACCTCAAGTATTGATGTTTATTGATTTAATTGATACCTAAAATACAGCCAGGATTAAATACTTAAACAATATTTGTATTTTCTAATAAAATAGGAAGACTTATTCCAAAGTCCGTCCTTTCTTTCTTTCTCTCTCCCTCCCTCCCTCCCTTCCTTTCTTTTTTTTTTAGTTTCTTGAGACAGGTTCTTTCTGTGTAACCACTGGGGCTGCCCTGGAACTCGATTTGCAGACCAGACTGGCCTCAGAGAGATCTGCCTGCCTCTGCCTCCTGAGAACTGGGATTAAAGACATGCGACACCACTGCCCAGTCCAAAGTCCCATTTCTAACCATTTAAATATAAGTAAGACAGTTCATAGAATGAGGCCAAGGTGATGTCGGGGCTGTGCTGCCCCCAAGAGCCATGTCTGAGTCCGAGGTCCTACTGCAGCAGGGGACCATGTTTATGGCTTGTGCTGTTGCCAGAAACCATGTGGAGGCCCATGATCTGTGCTCCCACTGACTGTAGAGCAAGGAGGCTACGTTCGCTCGGCTATCTGCAGCAAGAGATTCCAGAGACATTGCGTCTGGCTTGAACAGCAGTGCTAGCACCTAGACTTTGAACTACCTTTTGTTTAAAGTTGATTCTTATCTGAGTTCTTCCTGAACAATTCCAGAGCCTTTGCAACGGTTAGTATTGAGAGGACCTGGCAAACCAGGTCTCGTGGCTGAGCTTAGGCAAATGGTTCCTTCAAACAACCCCAGATAAGAGGGGTTTTTTTTTTGTTGTTGTTGTTTTGTTTGGTTTGGTTTGGTTTTTGGTTTTTCGAGACAGGGTTTCTCTGTGTAGCTTTGTGCCTTTCCTGGAACTTGCTCTGTAGCCTGGGCTGGCCGCAAACTCAGACATCCACCTGCCTCTGCCTCCTGCCTCCGGAGTGCTGGGATGGGGCCATCACCACCCGGCTCAGATAAGAGGTTTTGATGTGTGGAAATTGCTTGCTGAAGGTGAAAACTGTCTAACAATAGAAAGACTTTGTGTGAAGTAATAGACAGTGGTTCACCAGAAGCTGGCTCAACCTGCTGCTTTTGGTAAGCCCAAAATTCATCTTGGAATGACCTTTTTCTTCAACAGACTCATGCAAAACAGAACACTAACAGATATCCATGAGCGCAGACACAGTTGAGAGGGAGGGGCATGGAAGGCTTCTGTGACAACCCTGGCCCCTCTACCCCAAAGAAACAGCTTAGACAGGAAGCCATCAAAGAGAACTCTTTTTTTTAGACAGGGTTTCTTTGTGTAGCTTTGCACCTTTCCTGGAACTCACTTTGTAGCCCAGGCTGGCCTCGAACTCACAGAGATCCGCCTGCCTCTGCCTCCTGAGTGCTAGGATTAAAGGCGTGTGCTGCTGCTGCTGCTGCTGCCGCCGCCACCACCCGGCAAGAGAACTCTTAAAAAGTGTAGTGGAGATGCTGAAGAGCAGCTCTCCACAATCGATGGCTTCTGGCGGAGGTGTGTGAGGGAAAGGCCTTGGCTCTAGTTAAGGGGCAGGCCACTGAGAGTTTGACCATGCTCCAGTGAGTATATAGATGACACAGAGTGGACTTGGTTTGGTTTGGTTTTGCTTATTTTTATTTTTTACTTCTTTTTTTTGGGGGGGGCAGTCACAAGTGGGGTCAGACATGAAGGACTGGGAAGGGATTGTGATTGGGGTATATGACGTGAAACTCCCAGAGAATCAATAAACATGTTATGCGGAAAAATAAAAATATTGACATGCTGCTGTTAAACAACGAAACTAGACTATCCTTCTTCAGCACCAGCTAGAAAACAAAGACATCTGCTCTTGCCGCTCGTATTCAGTGCTGAACTGGAGGCTCCAGGCAAAGCCAGGGCCAACTAGACAAGAAAAGGAATCCATATTGGAAAGGAAAAAAATCAAAGTGTCTCCGCAGACGGCAAGGTCTAGCACACGGGGAATGGAAAGGGACATATACCAGCTGCCAAGAACCAACACACAGGCTCATCAGAGTTGCAGGGGAGCTGGTCAATAAACAGAGCAGTGTTGCTCTACCCTGGCAATGAACAGCCTGGAAAGGAAACCAAGAAAAGCGTTTTACTTGAGACTGAGGAGATGGTTCCATTGGTAAAGTGTTAGCAATGTGTCTTAGGGTTTCTTTTCTTTCCTTTTTTTTTGGGGGGGGGTTGTTTTTGTCTTTTTGAGACAGGGTTTCTCTGTGTAACATCAATGGCTGTCCTGGAACTCACTCTGTAGACCAGGCTGGCCTCAAACTCACAGAGCACCTGCCTCTGCCTCCCAAGCGCTGGGACTAAAGGCGTGCGGCACCACCGCCTGTCTCTAGTTAGGGTTTCTATTGATGTAATGAAACACCATGTCCAAAAAGCAAGTTGGGGAGGAAAAGTGTTTATTTGGGTTACACTTCCATAGCACCATTCATCATCAAAGGAAGTCCAGACAGGAAATTCAAACAATGGGGGAATCTGGAGGCAGGAGCTGATGCAGGACTACCAGCCCAGGGATGGCACCACCCACAGTGAGCTTGGCCCTCCCCATCAATCATTAAGAAAATGCCCTACAGCTGGATCTTATGGAGGCATTTTCTCAACTGAGGCTCCCGCCTTTCAGATAACTCTAGTTTGACTCAAATTGACACAAGACTGGCTAACACACTGTGCATCCATGAAGACGGAGTTCAGACCCTGACAGATATGTAAAAAGAAATGTGGCAGCATATTTCTGTGATCTCAACACTTGAGGGGCAAAAGATGGAGAATACCAAGGTCTTGCTGCCCACCCAGTCTAGCTGAATCTGTGAGCTCCACATTCAGTGAGACTCTGTCATAAAAACTAAGGTGAATGCTAGCTGGCTTTCATAGTGCTATGCAGGCCACTGGAGGGAAAGTCAACGGTCTTATCTAGGGCTGGACCCTGCATGCTCTGACACTGACCTGCCAGGCAAGATGTACCCACTAGTACAGCAGTAGCATGGCTGTTAGAGCAGTAGACCAACTACTTCCGGACTGGATGTAAGGCCTGCTCCAGAGGAGGAAGTCCATGCCTGGCCAGCCTGGTCAAGTCTGTGACAAGGGAGGTCATAGACCCTATTGGGTGACCTATTACTATTGCTTTGCTAAACGGACAAATTGCCAAACTGCCTTGTAAGTATGATTATATCCATACTTTAGTGCTGCTTTCAACAGTGGTCAGAGAAGCTTTTGTAATGGGCAGCAGTAAATGGAAAGACTAATAACTGATCAAAGTGCTGAGAATAAGTGACTGCTGGTTTGAATAAGAATGGCCCCCAAAGGCTCATAGACTGTGGCCTTATTGGAGGAAGAATGTCACTGGGGGGGGGTGGGCTTTGAGATTTTAAAAGCCCATGCCAGGCCCTGTTCCTCTTCCTGTCTTTCTCTGCTTGCAGGTTAGGATGAACTTCCCAGCTACTGCTCCAGTACCTGCCTGAATGCCATGTTCCCCGCCACGATGACAATGGACTCTGAAACTGTAAGCCTCCAATTAAACGCTTTATTTCATAAGAGTTGCCTTGGCCATGCTGTCTTCACAGCGATAGAACAATGACTAAGACAGTGACTAGTAAGGGCTTACTCCTAAACGGGACATCTACATTACACGCACACACCCCACAAGGCTCAGGGAACGTCACAGAAGAAAGAGTAAGCCGGTGAGAGCTGGAGGACCGGAGGGTGCTCTGAAATGCTGCCTGTGGACATGGCATGTCACCGCAGCACAGCAGTTAGAGTGGCGTGCTCTAGATCCTGGGAGTCAACATTCCAGCATGGATGAGGGAGGGGCCGAGGAGGAGTGTGTCCCGTCCCCTCCTCCCCCCCCACCCCCCCTCCCCCACACCGAAGAGCTGTTGGCAGTTGATGGCTGCCAGGGAAGGAGTCATTTACCTATCTGCACTCAAGCAGGGGCGCTAACTGAACCCAATGGGCTGTAAAAGAAGAGGAGGCATTAAGGTGGGAAGGAGATGTTTTGCAGGATTCTGGGGAGAGCTGGGGACTGACATGATCAAGAGACATTATAAAAATGCATCAACTAGTCACAGTAAAAATTTTAAATATTAAGAAAATAAAGTGGAGAGCAACTGACAAAATACCCAGTGTTAATCTCCCCACACACACACACGCATCTGTATGTATGCAGAGAGAAAGGCAGTTGGAGAGAATCACATACAAAATAAACTTACCAAAAGAACTGTAAGACTTGGACTGTGAAAACTATGAAACACTGTTGAAAAAGATTTTGTAAGACCCATTAAACAGACATCCACATTCACAGGACTTAGTATCATTAGGACAGCAATACTCTGCAGATTTATCTATGGATTTAATGTAATTCATATCAAAAAAGGTGTGTTTTGCAAAAATTGACACTCTGATTCTAAATTGTTTTTAAATTTAAATCAGAACAACCAAAACAAGCCTGAAAAGCTGAAAGCCAGGCTTCATTTCCAAACCTAACTCCTGGGGAAATGTTCTAGTCTGCCTTCCTGTTGCTCTAATAAACACTCTGACCAAAAGTGATCAGGGGAGGAAAGGGTTTAACTTGACTTACGGGTTACAGTTGGGTTACAGTCCGTCATCAAGGAAAGCCGAGGCAGGAACTCAAAAGAGGAGCTTGAAGCCAAAACCAAAGCAGAGACCATGGAGACATACTGCTTACCAGCTCTGTGGAGATATATTGTGTGCCCCAATATATTGTGTACCCTAATAAACTTACCTGGGAATCGGAGGACAGAGCCAGCCACTAGATTAGACATAGAGGCCACACAGTGGTAGCACACACCCTTAATCCTATCACTCGGGAGACAGAGATCAGTCTGGATCTCTGTGAGTTCAAGGCCACACTGGAAACTGAGCCAGGCATGGTGGCACATGCCTTTAATCCCAGCATTTGAGATCTCAGGCCTTTGCTACCAAGTATTTGGGAAGCATACAAGCCCTTAATCCCAGCACTAGGAAGGAAGGAAGATGGCAGGGCACAGAAAGGCATATAAGGTGTGAGTAAACAGAAAGTCTCGCTCTGGAGGCTGAGGAGTTGGTAAGGTGAGGTTGGTTGTGGCTTGTTCTGTTTCTCTGATCTTTCAGCTTTCACCCCAATATCTGGCTCCGGGATTTTTTGTTATTGTTGTTTTGTTTTTTAATAATAAGACTATTTAGCAATTTGTGTTACACAGCTTGCTCCCTATCACTCGCTCACTTTCTTTCTTATAAAATCCAGGACCATCTGCCCAGAGTGGCACCACTCAGTGGGCTGGGCCTTCCGACATCAACCGTTAATCAAGACAATCCCTGGTAGACATGCCCACAGGCCAATCTGAAGGAGGCAATTCTTAAATTGAAGTTCCTCTTCCCAGGTAACTTTAATTGACTTCACATTGGTTAAAAAAAAAAACAACCAGCACACTTTGATAATCAAGAAGTATAGTATTAGCACAAAAATAGACACCTCTATTGGTGGAAGAGGATCAAGAGTAAAATTAAACCCGGAGATCCACAGTCAGCTCCTTTTTGAAAAAGGAACCAACACAATTTCAATGAAGGAAGAATACCCTACGTAAGTGGTACAACTGGATATCCACACACAAGAATAAAACAGGACCTTACCCCATCCACTACAGTAACTAACTCAAGATCTAAGGATGTGGAGCAGTGGTAGAGCACTTATCTAACATGTCCAATGCCTTGGGTTCAACATCCAGTACTGAGAAAAATTAACTCATAATAGATCAAAACACTAATAGATAAGAATATAGAACCCTTAAACTTTAAGAATGTGAGCTCAAGTTAGGCAATGAAAGAGAGCAGCCTGGGGAGCTGACTCGGTAGACAGCATCTGCCATGCAGCAGGAGGAGCTGTTTGACCCTCAGAACTTACATTAAGTAGCTGGGCATGGCAGTGCACGCCTACAACCCCAACGCTGGGCTCAGGACAGAGGCAGGTGAGTCCCTAGGGCTCTCCAGCCTAGTGAGCTCCAGGTTCAGTGCGAGACCTGTCACAAACGGTAAAGGTGGAGTGGCTGAACAAAGACACCCGGCACCAATGTCTGGCTTGTGCATACGTGTGTGAACGAACACACATACACCACACACACGCACGCACGCACGCACGCACGCACGCACGCACGCACGTACACACGATGGCATTGGTAGAAATTTAAAACAGGACAGCAATCACAGGGAGGTGAGAACTCCTGCAGCCCTGGCGTGTGGCAGCTTCTGCATCCCTCAGGATCTGGCAGCAGTCAACAGGGGCAGCCCAGGCAGAAAGAACAGCCAACAGCAGCCCCTGGGGTTGACACTCCACAGGCCTTGGGTCTCGGGGTCTGTTAGTTCCTGTCCCCAGGGCTGCGACAAATACTTAACAAAAACAGGTTAAGGAAGGGGTTTACTTTGTCTCCCAGTGCAAGGGGACAGTCAGTCATGGTGGCGGGCCCAGGAGACAGCTATTCACTTTGCAGCTGCAGTCAGAAGCAGAGGCCAAGCAATGCTGGGTGCCCAGCGTTTTCCTTTGTATTCTAGTCCAGATCCCAGCCCATCTGACAGCACCACGTGTTTGGAGTAGGTCTTCCCACCTCAATTCTCCTAATCTAGAAACTTCTTCATCGACAGGCCCATGGGTGTGTCTCCTTGGTGATTTTAGTTTTGGTTGTGAGCGCAGCCGTTAACAGCTGAGCCATCTCTCCAGCCCTCCTAGGTGAGTGACTTTAGATCCTCTCAAATTCATGATCAATACTAAGCATGCAGTGGTTGTAGCGTCAACTTGCCTCAAATTATATTCACACCCAAGTGTGGCACCATCTGGATCACTCACCTTTTGCTGGCTTGACCTCCTCTCCTGCCAACAGCCTTCTTTACCCAGCTGCTGCTGATTCCTTTGCCGGCACGAGAACCAGAGCTTCCAGGCGTCCATCCCTAAGGACCAGCAGCTCTCCAGGACCCTTCCATATTTTTGGCTCAAGAACGGGTGCTGAGGCACTGAGCCTCGTGGACCAACCAGTTCTCAGACTCTCAGGTGTGAAATATTAAAACCTCTCAGGTAGTTAACATTTCAAAGTAATCTAGCTTAGTAAATTTCCATCAGTTCTGTTCCTCTAGAGAGCCCTGACTTATACAGAGCTTAAATTCCACTTTTTTGTTTGTTTGTTTGGTTTTGGTTTTTTTTTTTTTTTGAGACATGGTTTGTGTGTGTAGTTTTGGTGCCTGTCCTGGATCTCACTCTATAGACCAATCTGGCCTCGAACTCAGAGATCCCCCTGGCTCTGCCTCCCGAGTGCTGGGACTAAAGGCATGCGCCACCGCTGCCCAGCCCAAATTCCACTTTTTTTTTTTTTTTTTGGTTTTTCGAGACAGGGTTTCTCTGTGTAGCTTTGCGCCTTTCCTGGAACTCACTTGGTAGCCCAGGCTGGCCTCGAACTCACGGAGATCCGCCTGCCTCTGCCTCCCAAGTGCCACTTTTTTAATAATACAAAAAGGAAAGCCCTGACATGAAATTATGAGGCAAGGAACCTCCGAAGATGCCATTGAGTCCGTTTCCTGTTGGCTGTTTACTGCTGGGCATGAGGTCTACCATTAAGAGGAGTTTGTTTCCCCAGAAAGACTCCTTTGGAGAAAAATACATTTTCATTTGCACATGGCTATCAGTTGGAGATTGCCTCTGGGTGAGGATGGGAACATGCGTCCACTTTTCCTTTCAGCTCCAGGACCCTCCAAATTCCACTCTTTAATTTATCCAGTAGAACAAAGACAAATGTGCCTTAAGTGGTATACATTTTATATACAGGAATGATCCACTCTCAGCAAGTCTGAAACAAACAAACAAACAAACACAGTCTTTCTGTCCTCTTTAAAGCCTGGGTACCCCATGAAGGCAGAGTCGAACCCTAAGGCTGACTGTTTTTCAGCACAGTCAGGCAACAGGTATTGCATTTAGATCAACACTAGCAAAGTACATAGACTTGGAGAGGAACTATCACACTGAGAAGTCTCTTTCTTTCAACCCTAATCTAGGCAGTCAGTCTTCAAGAGTAACATGGTGGGCGTCACTTCCTAAAGCGTTTGAAAAGTGGGTGCACGTGCTTGGTGGAAGCCTTGCTTCGGGAGGAGTGGTATTCCATATACACAGTGTCGTCTGCCCCAGACATAGAACTCATGGTGCCGAAGCGTCGGGACGCCTGTAGGGGAGAGGAAGGAGCCAGGCTGAGGTTAATCTCCAAAGGAAGGACCCCCTTCAACATTCATAATCAGATTCTGTAGTGTGTGTGTGTGTGTGTGTGTGTGTGTGTGTGTGTGTGTGTGTTTACACACATGTGTGGTGCTAGCGATTGAACCCAGTGCACTGTGCATGCTAGGCAAGTACTCTACCACCAAGCTGAACCCTCAGGCATTTCAATACATTGTTTTTAAAATAACACTCTCTGGGCTGGTGAGTTGGATAAACGCATTGGCAGTGCAAACAAGGCAACCTGAGTTTGATCCCCAGAACCTATAAAGAGGCCTAAGGAGAGCAAAGACTCCAAAAGTTGTCCTCTGACTTCCATAAATGTGCCCCCTACACATATAAATACACACACACACACACACACTTGTGCATGCAGATACACAAGGATCTCTGTGAGTTCGAGGCCAGCCTGGGCTACCAAGTGAGTCCCAGGAGAGGCGCAAAGCTACACAGAGAAACCCTGTATCGAAAAACAAAACAAAAAAAAATTTAAAATATCCTTCTGACCACTTTCTGTCTTAGGCACTGCATATATATTACCTCCCCTGACCCTCACAATTATAATCTTAACCTACAGAGCAGGAAACTGAGGCACAAGAGCTTCACTTGGGCTAGCTCCAGCTCGTAAGAAAAATGGGACTAGAACACTGCCCAGGCACTCTGATGTGAAAGAACACTACAATGGCTCCCTTAATGTCAACTGCTCAACAGAACCTATTCTTTTCTTTCTTTTGTGGTTCTGAGGTCAAAAATCAGGGCCCGACACCGCACACGCCAGGCAGACATTCTGTTACCAGGCAACATCCTCAGTCCCTGCACTGAATCTTAAGAGTTAGGATGGACTGGGGCTGGAGAGACAGTACAGCAGTTAAGAGCACTGGCTGTTCTTTCAGACTAGGGTTTGAATCCCAGCACCCACTGGAAGCTCACAACTGTCTATAACTCCTGTTCCAAGGGATCCAATGCCTTCTTCTGGCCTCTGTGGGCACCAGGCACACATGTGGTATACAGACACACATGCAGGCAAAATATCCATACACATAAATAATTAAAAAGAAAGTTAGGATGGGAGTCCCTTAAAATCTCCTAAGACTTGATGGAAGAATTTGAACCAATGGGAAAGCCAGGAAATCCTGGCTTGACTCAGCTCCAAAGCCATGGACAAGTTTCGAGTGTCTGTAAAATGGGGATGACCAAATCTGCTCCAAAGATGGAGCATCAACAGAGCTCTCTCACTGAGGTGGAAAGCACGGTGAGCCAGCTAACCCCCAACCAACAGACACAGCATTTATTAGCTCCAGAGCCTGCAGGATTATTACTTTGGGCCCCAATATTACCAGCTTGTCATGGACAGACAGGATCCCAGTTACCGTTACAGTAAGCCCCTCTGTCTGGTGATATATTTACAAGGCACCCACATTAAAAAATAATGGGGGTGTTTCTGCATAATTTTCAGTTTCCCCCCAATCCTACTTGCTCACATGCTCACAGGTTTGCATGTGTGTGTGTCTGTGCATGTGTGCATGTGCAAGCACATCACATATGCACACGTGGGCATCCTACAGAAAGACCCCTCTCTCTTCACTCACCTGGCCGGATCTAGAGCCAAACTCCCCAGCCACCACCTCTTCCTCCGCGTCCAGATCAGTGGCTGCCAGGACCTTCTGCAGGAGCTGCTGCTGCTCCTCTTTGGTGGAGAATGCCAGCTCTTCCTCCTCCATGCCAGCTAGCTTTGTGATCACCTACATGAGCAATGGCAGACACAGGCTCTTCTCACCTCCAAATCTCCACTGCACCGCTCCTGGGCACCTCTTCCCCCCCACCCCCCAGTCCAACCAGAGCTTCACTACTGGCTCAAGACAGAGGCTAGGGCACTCCCGATGGGCACAGCAGAAGGAGACACAACCCTCTATTTTCCCATCCTGCACCAGGAGGGAAGGAAAGCATGGAAAGGACACCCAAGGACACTCCACCCCACGGCATGGCATCTTGGGCTTCCATCAAGAAGTACTTTATTCATACAAGATGTCAAGAATTGATTGACCGGGGCTAGAGATGGCTCAGTAGACAAGACCACTGGCTGCTCTTCCAGAGGACCTGGATTCAGTCCCCAGAACTCACATGGTGGCTCACAACCATCTATAACTCCATTCCAGGGAACCCCAAACCCTCTTCCGGCCTCTGTGGGCACTAGGCATACATGTGGTGCACAGACACACATGCAAGCAAAACACTCATACTAAAAATTTAAAAATAATTGACCAGATTTTTCTCTCAGAAGGAAAATGTCCTAGTCTCATGATAAAATACCCTGACCAAAAGCAACTTTGGGAGAGGATGATGGGTTTATCTGACTTACACTTCCAGGCTACAGTCCATTACTGAGGGAAGTTGAGGCAGGAACTCAAGGTAGGAACCTAAAGGCTGGCCTACCTGCATTAACCCTGACCAAAGACCTCACTTCACAGCTACAGAAGTGTGGCGGGACTGCTCTGCTGAGGCTAATAATGGAACTATCACCCATGCTTAAGAGACCAGTGAAAATACATTTGAATGGTGGCTGTTTCTGTCCTAGTTAAAGAGCACACAGACACATACACTAAGCAGATACTGGTTTTTTTCTTTCCTTCTTTCCTCCCTCCTTCCCTCGTGTACTGTATCAGGAACTGAGATAACAGCAGTGGTTAAAGAGCTGTAAATCTATATCATCACATTTGTCGTGAATCACTGAAAAAAACGCAGCATTCCCAAAGGGACTGCTGTCTCAAACAAACCCCCACAAAAACCCACTCTGTGTGTGTGTGTGTGTGTGTGTGTGTGTGTGTGTGTGTGTGTGTGTGTGTGGTCATACACGGACAGCTGATCGTCTTAGGTGGAGTTACTCCTCTGGAACTGAAGCATGGCATAAGGAGGTGTGTCTGGGCGTCAAGCTGCTGGGCACTCCAGGAAGGACTCTCTTACCTAAGAGTATGTGACGCTGGAAGCCCTACACTACACCCAGACGACCCGGCACCTCCCGGTGGCAGCCCAGATGAAAGGGCGTGCAGAAGGGGAACTGCTTTTGCCCTCACTCTCCCTGGCAAGTTCATCTACCCTGTTTCTGCAGTCAGTATTAATAACCTATGCAGGACTCCAGCAGACGGCAAACCAGCAGCCTTCCAGGTATCCTGCAGGCCATGCAGGCCAGATTGAGACTGCTGAGATACCCAGCCTCGTCTTCAGTGTGAGGCCGTCATGACTGGACTACCCAGACCACACTGAGCAAGCTACTCTAATGAATGTCCTTCTGGTAAACACATTTATTACATCGGCTCTGTTCATTTACAGAACTCTAACACAGGGACCCATGTATAGTTCTTTTACAAATTAAGAACCTCGAACTTGGCATCCTGATGACATACTATTGGTAGCCACAGCAGGAGTTTTCTTCTCTGCTTCTAAAACTATTCCATTCCTCCCTCAGAACCTCGGATCAGGCCTCTCCAGCTAAGGAAGACGCTCCAAGCCACCTGGAGGGCCACCCCCAAGAAGAACCTCAGGATTCAGACTCTCGGTGACTACAGAGCTTCGGCACCTCAGAACTGCCAGGCTAGCAGTGTTACCCCAGCAATTTACAGAGAGAAAAGAGCATGCAGCCTGCCTGAGTGCTGCCCCAGGCTGGTGCCCCGACCTTTGTCAGAGCCTAACCAGAGGTAAACAAATACATACCTTAAAGCTGTAACCTTGATCCACTAAGAATCTCTGCCGCTTGGTAGAATAAGCCATTTCCTGTGTGTCCTGGGACACCAGTGAGTAGAAAAAGGCATTGTACTCCTCCGCGACCATCCCTACAGGGAAAGGCGAGAAAGGGCAAGGAAAACCCACACTAGTCACCAAAAACACCAGGGTTCCAACCAGAAACACGCACTGCAGTGAGCAAGCTCCTCATCCTGTGTGTAACACACACACACACACACACACACACACACACACACACACCCCCGACTGCATGGGATCGCATCAACATTAACACTCTGCTCTGAAGAACACGATCAACTGAGCTCAGCAGCAGGGAACTTGTCCGAGCATGTCAAAGGGGGCTTGGGTTTGGTCCCCAGCATCAGTAACACAAACAGAACAAACTTAAAAAGGAACAAAGAGGACGAACAAGATGGTTAAATAGATGCCAAGCCTGGGGATCTGAGTTTGACCCTGGGAATCTGTTAGGACACCATGAAAAGGCTATAGTGATGGTCTACAAAGAAAAGCAAACACGTAAGTTCCACTTAGGAATAAGGTTTGGAGCCGGGCAGTGGTGGCGCACGCCTTTAATCCCAGCACTGGGGAGGCAGAGCCAGGCGGATCTCTGTGAGTTCAAGGACAGCCTGGTCTACAGAGCGAGATCTAGGACAGGCTCCAAAGCTACACAGAGAAACCCTGTCTCAAGGAGAAAAAAAAAGAAAAAGGAATAAGGTTTGGTATAATGAGAGCCTCAAGGCCATGACTGAGTGTCAAGGTGTGCAGGGACCATGGAGTTGGCTTGGCCTAGCTGTCTTGAGAGGCATGTATCTAGGTTTTTCAGGTTAGAGTCTATGACTCCTGGGACACAGTGTGCCTTCCAGTTCCTGAGAGACCACACGTCCTTCAGGCAGTGAAGCGTTCAGGCTGCCTTGTGTTTCTCTGTCTGTTCCCTTATTAGTCAAGGAAGCCTGGAAACTTGACAGGACAACTGTCTTAGACATTAATCTGGTGTGCCCTGTACAGCTCGCAAACGGCATTGTATCCTGGCAACTACAACTGTATTGATCCTGGCAACTGGCGCTGTATTCTGATTCTGATAAAGGTATAAACAGTCTGACTGCTCTCAATAAAAATGTCCCAGCCTTCGTGGTGCTGTGGTCCCTCCAGCCGGGCCTGATTCACTCCTCAGCGCTGTATCAGGTGACCTTGGAGTGGTAAGTAAGCACGGGCACTTACACAGGCGGAGGAAAGCAGACAGAAACGCTACAATACACAGTGATAGAACTAGGAGGCCTTAGAGGGAAGGAGAGGCCTTCTCCCTTACAGCCTGGAGAAGAACTTCAGCCAGAGTGGGAATCAGAGATGGACAGCTGTCATGGAGGGAACAACAGTGTGGAGGCCACAGGGGCCTCTTCAGAGAGCAGTGTTCATCTCCAGGTCTTATTTCTGATTCAGTGTGCATGTTTGCGTGTCTCTGTGAGTGTATACCATGTGTGCGCACCTGAAGAGACTAGAAGAGGGTATTAAGACCCACTGAAGTTGAAGTTACTAGTAAAAACTGCCATTCAAGCTGGGCACGCCTTAATTCCAGCACTCAGGAGGCCGAGGCAGGAGGATCTCTGAGTTCGAGGCCAGTCTGGTCTACAAAATGAGTACCAGGGCTGCTAGGGCTACACAGAGAAACTTTGTCTTGAAAAAAAATCACACACACACATGCACGCACCATTCAAAGACCATGGAGAACATGGATCCCTGAGGCAGGAGAAGTAATGAAGACTGTAGGCTCTAAGCTCTGCTTTGGGCCCTTCCCCTCAATGGCTCTCCAGCTCTGAAGCAAAGCACACTGTGGTTAGACACACCACTCTTCCTAACCTATGTGGTAAGAGGCCATAGCATAGGCCAGCCTGTGGAAGCAGAGGAAAGGTGGCCTTACCTTTTTTGGCTCGGAGTACCCGCCCCAGTCTCTGGGCTTCCTGCCGTCTGGAGCCACCATGGGAGGAGATCTGAATGAGGACATTTGCTTCTGGCAGATCGAAGGATGTATCACCGACCTACAGAAACAAAGCAGCTATGAGTTTGGGAGTTTTTATGTAGGGAACAGTAAGAACAACAACCAAAGGATCAACTAGTCCAGAATCTAAATTTTTAAATTTCTGTGCTTCTAGGGATGGAATCAGGGCTTTCAGGCATGCTAAGTAGGTGCTCTCCCACTAAGCTACCTCCCTATTCATCCCTAGGTGGAGATAACAGAGGAAAATCTCCTCTTCCTCCTCCTCCTCTTCTCAAGGTCCTGCCACTGCAGGCAGTGGGGACACACTGGACCTCAGAATGAGCCCCAGAACCTAACCACAACTCATTTCTCCTTGCTACAGAAATGGGTCTGTACAAAGCGCATCTTACTTGATGACCAGGACACCTGCAGCAGCACAGGTGGACAGTGCACACAGAGAAGGGCACTACCCACAAGACCCTCACTAGAGCCGCTCCTCAGCTGGGGGGTCTCAGCCGCAAACAGGAACAACTTCCCAGCCGCGACCACCAAACTGTAAATACTCAAGTCTTAAGACTTGAGCTCCAGCTTCACCTCACTCTAAATGCCAGCTTCTTAGGGCTATGGTGTCTGAGCTGACTGCAGGTGACAGTGCTTGCCTGCAGGCCCGAAGACCTAATCTCAATCCCCGGGACCCGTGAAGTGAAAGGAAAGAAGCAATTCCCACAAGTTGTCCTCTGACCTCCACACATACAACATGGCACACTTGTGTCATCCCTCTCCCGAACAAACAAACAAACAAACAAACAAATGTAACTAAACAATTTTAAGGGTTTCTGAATGTTTAATCAAATGCATAATCTCACTACAGTCTTGGTTCCAAATGCACAACACATACACCTCACCCTCACAACACAAACAAACGCTGCTTAAAATATCTCAATTCCACAGACAAACTTTTCTGCTCTTATATAATGGTTTAATTATGGAAAACAAAGACTTGTAATATTTTCCTAAAATCATTCCCAAGCATGTGAGTACTGAATTAGTATATCTTTGCATTATATTGTGTTAGAATGTTTAATTTTAAAACTGCTGCTTCAACAGTTAACCCTTGAGTTTCATTTTTTAAAAATCATTCAATAAATTTGGTCTTGAGCTTAGGACAGAATTTCCAACAATTTCTGGAATGGTCCCAAGCATACAACTGTTATTTTGAACTATGTATTTATGCAAAACCACATTCTCAGCATTGACAATTATGTAAAAAAAAAAATCCATCAATGCTGACAATGCTCTACATATACAGTAGAATCCTCTATAGCCTGTGATATCAGCTGAGATTTAATTCTTTAGTAAAAGCAGCAAACAAGTCCATCATCCCATTGATGGGAGAATTCACTTTCATCTTTCACAAATGTCTCCACCTCCATAGTTGATCCTTGCTGCTACAGAGACAGATCCTTACGTGCTGTGAGTTCGTGAAGAGACTCACCAGGTACCCAGTGACAGAAGAGTGACAGGTTGTCAGACTCTGAACAGGAGCCGGTTAACTGATATAATGGAGACAGCTCCCTAGCCCTAGCAACTGTACTCGCCCACAACTCCCCAGACTCAGGGACAGCTCGGCTGTAGGCTTGTGCTGGAAACCTTCTTCCAGGACTCCCACTCTGCCTTGTGGGCTTCAATTCTCCTCAGAGCTCCCGCCACGCTGCTGCTGTCTACCTAGGGAGGGAACTCTCCTAACAAACATCTAACTCAAAAGAACATCCACTTCAGCGCCCTGCTGAACCCCAAACCCCAGACCTTTCACACACATAAAAATTTCTTGGGTAAAGGGATCATGAGTGTTTTAAACCACTGGGTCAAGCAGTGGTGGTATATTCCTTTAATCCCATCACTCCAGAGGTAGGCAGATCTCTGAGTTCAAGGCCAATTTGGTCTACAGAGTAAGTCCTGGACAGCCAGGGCTACAAAGAGAAACCCTGTCTCAAAAAACAAAATAAATCAATAAATAAGCATACAAATAAATAAATAAAAATAAAGCTGGGTGGTGGTGGGACACATCTTTAATTCCAGTACTTGGGAGGCAAAGGCAAGCAGATCCTCCTGAGTTTGAGGGCAGCCTAGTATACAGAGTGAGTTCTAAGACAACCAGAGAAACCCTATCTTGAAAAAAAACAAAGAGAAAGGAAGGAAGGAAGGAAGGGAGGGAGGGAGGGAGGGAGGGAGGGAGGGAGGGAGGAAGGAAAGAGAAAACAAACCAGAACAGGATAAAATAAACAAAACAGAAAAACAAAACAAAACCCACTGGGTCATATGTTAGCAGTGATGGCATGCTGAAGCTTGGCCTACCAAGTCCATTGTGGCACTGGCCACCCACCGTCAAGGCACATCAGGCACCAGGACAGAAGCTTCCCAAACACCAACTCCAAAAAGGAAGCTTCATCCACATACCTACTCTTTTCAGAGCAGGAAACCCACATTACATTACAGCCTTCTATAAAGGAAATAAAATTTAAACCTCTATTTTCCAGGGGGAGGTGGGAAAAACCTGAGGAACAAAAAGCCCTTATAGATAACCTGCAAGCACAAGAACCCTAAGCTACTTCTCACACTACCCAGATCTGCCACTCCCTAACCCTAACCCTGGGCCAGGAGAGTGAGCATACATAGGAGGCCTTCTGCATATATGAACCATGTCCAGGAGTTCAGTGCACCTCCCAGGCCCCCAGGAGAGGGAGGCACTGCACTGCCAGACTATGCCACATACCTTGGAGATGAAGATGGTGTTGATTTTGGGGTTGTGCTTGAAGTTCTGGAGGATCTGCATTCTTTCTCCCTGGGATGTGGGCCCATAGATATAAGGTCTAGAGAAGAGCAAGGAGTTTTAGAAACATCACAGAATCACACATGGGGATTAGAAACTACCTTTGCTACAAAGCACTGACTTCTCACCTGGGCCCACAACGTAACTAAGCAGGGTGCAAGCTTGGCATCTTTGCCTGCATTGTGTGTCTGTGTCCTTTTCTTAGGGATGAGCTCCTGCTTGACTCTGCATAGACATATGTGGTGGTCTGAATGAGAATGGCCCCGTAGGTGCATATGTTTGAATACTGGTCCCCAGTTGGTGGAACTGTTTGGGAAGGATTGGGAAATGTGTCCTTGTCAAAGGAGGTATGTCACTAGGATGGGCTTTGAAGTTTCCGAAGACTCCTGTCATTCCCAGTGCTCTTTCTGCTACTGGGATGGGAGTTCTCAGCTCTTCCTGCTGCCATGCCTTCCGCTCCGACATCATGAACTCTAACTCTCTGAGTCATTATCCAAATTAAACACTCCTGTTTACAAGTGGCCTTGGTCATGGCATCTTTTCACAGCAATAGAACAGTAACTAACACAATGTGACAGTGGCTTAGGAATGTCTGCCTCTCAGACCTGTCTCATCCTAGTGAAAGATGAAGGCACACTTGTCCAGCCTGAATGTGATAGGTTTTGGTCTATCTTATTATATTTAATTTTGCCCTGTTTGGTAATTCTCTCAGAAGCCTGTTCTTTTCTAATGAGAGACAGAAAGTGAGTGTGCATCTGGAGAGGAGGGGAGGTGGGGAGGGACTAGAAGTAGGAGGAGGGGAAACTGTAATCAAAATATATTCTATGACAAAATTAATTTCAATAAATGAAGAAAACCTCAAAACAAAAGGAACAAAAATAACAAAAAAGGATGAAGTACAAGATGTCACTGTCCTACACTCAGTCACCTTGGATTTGAGAAGGACAGACAACTCCCTCCGCACATCATATGAGGACAATGGTCTACACTGGGAAGACTATAGATCCTAGAGCTGGTCAGCTTATAGGAGCCAGATGTGACAGCTGTTAACAGCTTATCAGACCATCTTACAGGACCCCAGCTGACACAAAGACGACGGGCCATACCTCGGCCAGAACTGCTTCCTTATGTGTACCTCCTAGCCCTGGTCTCAATGCATAAAACTCTTAGGTTGATGGACTCGGGGCCACTGGACCCTTCCCCGTTTCTCTTGCCAAGGCACACTGGTGAAATAAACCTGTCTGTTTTTCACCATTCCTTGCCTGTTCGGGCTGCTGAGGTCTGGCCTTTCGCCCTCACGGTCCAGGTGCTAAAGCACACCTGAGGAAGCCCTGCCATGTCATCATGAAGAGCCAGGACACGGAATGCTGCAGACCTTTCTCTCTCACCAACACCCCGCCCCCTCCCAATCCTTCCCCCTGCTCACCACTCTTCACAATTCCTTCTCGTTTCTTTTTTTCTTTCTGGTTGGTTTGGTTGTGTTTTGGTTTGTTTTAAGATAGGGCTCCATAGGTACCACAGGCTGGCCTCAAACTCATGATTCTCTTGCTGTCTTCTGGGTACCAAGATAACTTGTGAGCATCATGGGTCCTGGCACTTACTGTTTTTCAGCTTTGATTTTTCCTGCTTCAGTATCTGTGGCTCTAGGCAGAGTCCACAGCAAGCAGAATCCTTGATTCACAAGGCAGTGGGACAACAACCAGGAAAAGAGCCGCAGGCTGACTGTGGGCGAGGATGACAAACACAGGCGCCCTTCCTTCAAGTGAGCAGAAAAGAAGAACCAGCCTAAGCGGCTTCTACTGGTCTCCTTAACACTTAGTTGAACATCTCCTTTGTTTTCAGCTTCCACCAGAGGGCAAGGTAACCCTGCTGCCTACTTCCCACACAGATAGGAACCGGCCCTCTGCGTTCTTTCTGATAATCCTGGTGGCCTGTCTCCGGGGCTTCTCAGTGACAGTAATGACTAGACAGGCACCAGGTACTCTGGACACACCACGGAACTGGGTACTAAAACAATGCAAAAGGCAGACTGCAGTTCCCAATTTACACACGGCAACTGAGGATCAGGAGCCCAACAGTAGCCATCCAAAGCCTGGGCCCACAGCACCACTGCTTCTTCTGTTCCAGGTAGTACTACCAATGTCATGTGTCCCATAGCATGCCTGTAACCAAATTTCTCAGTGTGGGGGGCTGGGCGGGGCCTGGGACAGCTGCACATTCATATAGGTGGTCTTTGGACAGCCCAGATGGGAGCTGCTATCCCTGGCACTATGAGAATCCAGGACCCTGCATAATGCTATCATTTTCTGCATACCATGCTAGGAAAAATGTTGGGAAGCCACACTCATCAGGACAGGTTTTAGGGGGTCTTTTCTAAAGGCCTCTATCCATTTGGAAAATAACTCATACAGTTGCAGGCCCTTGGATTAGGAGGCTTCTCCCATACAGGAAGTGGAACAGAAGGTACTAATCCTCCACGAAGAGAACCTCACATTTGTAAACACAAGAGACACCAGGCACAAGCATCCTCTGCGATAAGTGGTGCAGGTCAATGTGACCAAGAGGAAAATGAGGTTCAGAGTGGCAAACCGCCTTCCTGAGGTCAGACAGCTGGGAATTCGGTCTGTCAGACTCCAAGATAATGGACCCTCTGCCCACTCCCACAGTCACACAGCCCATCACAGCGTCCTGCAAGGTACTGCAATGAAGATGGGAAAAAGCAGACACTTGGAGATCCTCTGCCACATACCAGGACTTCTACCACAAGCTAAGAATAAAGCAAGACCCAGAGTCCACAGTATTATTTCAAAAGCAAGAAAATAAAACATGTTGGGAAGAAGAAGTAGTGAGATGGGATGATAAGAGAAGGGAACTGGAGAGTAAAGATGGGTTCCTGGTGTGGTGGTTTGAAGAAAATGGCCCCCACAGGGGGTGGCACTATTGGGAGGTATGGCTTGGTTGGAGTGGGTGTGGTCTTGTTGGAGGAAGTGTGTCCCTGTGAGGCAGGCTTTGAGGTCTCATACATGCTCAAGATACCGCCCAGTGTCTCAGACCACTTCTTGTTGCCTGCAAGATGCAGGACTCTCAGCGCCTTCCCCAGCACCATGTCTGCCCGCACACCCCATGTCCCACCATGATGATAATGGACTGA